TGGACACCCAGCGGTTAAACGATGACATACGGCTAAACATGTCATCGCTGGTCAGGTTGGGGAGGGGGCCGGAGAAAACTACAGAGTCCGACATGGTTTTAGAAAAGTCACACACCGAAGCAACATTAATTTTAGTGACCTCCGATTGGCGTAACCGTGTGTCATTACCGCCGACGTGAATAACAATCTTACTGTATTTAGCCTTAGTCAGCAGTTTCAGATAAGATTTTATGTTGCCCGCTCTGGCCCCCGGAATGTATTTGACTATGACCGCTGGAGTCCCTAAAGCCACGTTTCGGACTATGGAGCTTCCAATAGCCAGGGTCTGCTTCTCAGCGGGTGTGTCACTGAGCGAGGAAAATCTATTAGAAACATGAACGGGTCGGTGGTGAACTGGGGGCTTAGCCTTAGCACTACGCTTGCTCCGGACCGTCACCCAACCGGCCTGGGGTCCCGGCTGCTCGGGGTCTGCTGGAGGACCGCTAACAGGAGCTAGCCTTTGTGGTTCCACGCTGTACTTATAGAATCTGGGGCTACAGTACGTAACCAACGTTTTCAGTCATAAACAGCAGCACGAAGAAAAAAAACTACTAACTCATGTAAATACATTTACACTTGAAATATTCAGCCTAAATATCTAATTTAAGTCAGGATGGAAGTTTAGCAATAAATAAATGTTTCAGTCTGTTGCTGCTTTTATCGTTAACAAACCTGCATTTTTTTTCTCACACAACGTACAGACCCTGCCAGGTAGGCTCTATGATTAGTCAGTAGATTTAATGTTAGCAAAAATATGCCTCATTTTACATTTATAACATGACAGATTATCACACATTTAGGTCAACGTATTTTGCAAAGAGAACATGATACCTGTTACAGCTGTGGACGAGTTTGATGCTACAGGAGGTGTTTTCTCTTCAGATGCTGCAACATCGACGATGTGCTGTTGTGGTTACTCCAGTTCTGCTTTGCAGTGGAAGCATTCATCTGTTTTGTCTTTTCTGTTTAGTCTAACATGTTCCCAAATTTTTTACAGTTTTTGTCGTTTTCGGGGCTCTTCTTCTAGGCAGTGTCCATTCTCACTTCCCTCCATAGTTACAAACTTAGCACATACACGTTAGCGGAAGTGCTAGCGGAAGCGCTAATGATGTGTAACACAAAAACCTTCCAGCTAGACCACAGTGCTCTGAATAGTTTGACAAAGCTTCGAGGCAGATAAATTTGCCACGAGGATATTTTGTAATCGAGGTCCTCAAATGATTCGAGGAATTGTTTCAGCCCTAACTCCAACACACAGGCACCAAGTTGGGGGCTAATACCCACACCAGCTATGTGTCTCTCACCATGGGCAACTCCAGAGTGGAATAAGGTCCAGCCCCTTTTAAGGTGATCGGTTCCAGAGTCCATGCTGCGTATCCAGGTGAGCGCAACTATACCTAGTCTGTACTTCTCAACCTCACCCAAAAGCTCAGGCTTCTTCCCCACCAGAGAGGTCACGTTCCATGTCCCAAGAGCCAGCTTTAGTAAGCCACGGTCAGAGTGCCAAGGTCCCCGCCTTTGGCCACTGCCCATGGATTAATACACCCAACTCATATGGCCCCTCCTGCAGGTGGTGGGCCCACAGGAAGGCAAACCCATGTTGCTCATTCGGGCTGAGCCCGACCAGACCCTATGGGTAGAGACCCAGTCACCAAGTGCTCACCGACGAGCCCCTCCCCCAGGCCTGGCTCCAGGGTCGGCCCCGGTAACCCACGTCTGGGCAAGGGACACTGAGTTCCTTGTTTTATTTTGTTCATACACGTCTTCTGAATATTGCTGGATATATCCAAAAAAAGTTCAATCTGGTCCTCTGGACATTCAAACCATGTGAGCAGCTGGTTTTGGTTGTCAACAGCAAACTGGTTGATCCACTCTGAGAAGGTGCTATTTAAGAGACTGAGCTGAATACAGCACCTCAGACTGAGGAAGTCTCTTGGATGAGAGATGAAATGTTTCTTTTGCTTTGTTTTTTGTTTTTTTTGTTTTCTTGTTTTTTGAATGTCCAGAGGATCAGATTTAACTTTTTTGGGATTTTTCTACCTGGATTATTGAGCATGTATCAGGATTGCTGGATATAATTTATAAATATGGAGAAATGAGTTGGACCAAGAATGGAGCCTTGGGGTACACCTGACATAATCGGAAGAAACTGTGAAATATAAGAGTCAACCTTCACTTGCTGCAACCTATTCTAAAGATAACTAGAGAATTTGCATTTCCTATGAAAATGCAAGTGTGAATACCTCTTGCTTACGAATGTCAAGAAATCAGTGGAAAAATAGCTTAAAATCGCAGAAAGAAAGTTCAACTATCAGATGGAAGCAGAATGTGCACAATTGTTCCGAATGTAATGGACTGCCAGGCTGCTGCTGATATAAATTGTTGATCTGACAGTACTATGTGTTTGGGTTTGCTCTCAGCTACCACTATACAAAATTTCAGCTAAATAGCTCTAAAAATGCCTGAGTTATTTTTTTTATTTTTTTCCTTTTTAGCTAAGTTGATAATCTTGGATTTTTGATTTGGATTCAGTATGTGATAGGAAACGTTTTCATCTATAACCTCACCAAATTTCAGCTTTGTATGTGTAACAATGGCTGAGTTAAATCCATTCAAAAGTAGCGCTGGTGGCCATCTTGGATTTTTGCTTTTCATGCAGCTTTTGATGGGAAACATTGTCAATTATCATCACACCAACTTTCAGCTCAATATGAATAAAACTGGTGGATTTATAGTATTTTTCCTTTTTTGCTAAGACATCTAAGAAACATTTTTGATTTTAAGTCAGAGTCTATTAGGGATTCTTGTCAGCTACCAATACACCAAATTTCCACTGAATAGCTCTAAAAAATGGCAGAGTTATCCTAGTTTTTCTATAAAACAGCTGAATAGTAGCTAAAGAAATGTAGAAAGAAGCTTAAATTTCCAAAAGGAAATGGAGTGAGCTTAATTGTCCCCACTAAGGCTGAAATAGGCATAAAGTAGCACAATAAAGTTGAAATTATCTGAGAAAAGCTGAAATTTGCTCAGTACAGCTGAATAGTAGCTAAAACAAGTAGAAAGAAGCTTAAGTTACTAGAAGGAAGTCGGGGGAGAATGCTTTTGCTGAATTAGGTGGAAAAAGTTTAAATGATTGCAAATACTGTGGAATTAGCTGAAAATTTTTTTTTTTTTATGGAGAAACCTTATAGTGACATCATGCTCACACAGGTGTTTAGATTCAGATGTTTATCAGATACACAGTTGGATTGTGGTGGCCATCAAATATGTTTTGTATTACCATGTACTGTATATAATACTTTCTAATGATGTTATAACTATCATTATATAAGTTGTTTGTTGTGGTTTCTTGGTTTTGTCGTGTTTTTTTTCTCTTTCCGCAGGTCTAGAGGCAGACTTCAATGATGTTGATTTGTGTTCTCTTTATCCCCCTCTCTCTCCTCTATTCCTATCTCCCTCTTTACATTTGAACTCTTCTCTCACTTTTCTACTTTGTTATCTTCTTTGTTTTCCGTCCCCGTGTCCATTACATCTAAAACAAACTCAAAGCATATTCTAATAAAATTTAATTTATATATCAAGTGGAGCATTAAGGCCAGCCATAATGCTCTGCTTGTGAAAGTAAATCTGTTGGGCATCACTTTGACACTCGGACAATAATTCTAAGTGTCACAATGCCGGACAGGACAAGGGAAAAAAAAAAAAAAAGATTAAATTAACATCAAAACAACTAAATGCTAGCTGAAATACGAGAAATAGATGAAGCCTACAGAAATAAGCTGAAAGGAGCAGAACAAACTGAAATGAACAGAAATAAGTTCGAAGAAGCATAAAAATCTTGAAGTTAGCTGAATGAAGCTGAAGGAAGCGCAAAACAGCTGAAAAACTGCTACAGAATGTTTTTAAATTTTCATTCAGAGTCTATTAGGGATTGTTGTCAGCTACCAATACGTCAAATTTAATCTGAATAGCTCTAAAAATGGCAGTTATCCTAGTTTTTCTATAAAACAGCTGAATAGTAGCTAAAAAAATGCAGAAAGAAGCTTAAATTTCCAAAAGGAAGAGAAGGGAGCTTAATTGTGTCCACTAAGACTGAAACAGGCAGAAATTAGCACAATAAAGTTGAAATGATTTGAGAAAAGCTGAAATTTGCTAAAAACAGCTGAATAGTAGCTAAAACAAGCAGAAAGAAACTTAAGTTACTAGAAGGATGTCGAGGGAACATGTTTTTGCTGAATTAGGTTGACAAAAGTTTAAATAATGGCAAAAAATGTGGAATTAGCTGATAAAGATGAAATTAGCATGAAAGCTAAATGCTAGCCGAAATAACAGAAATAGCTGAAACATCCAAAAATAAGCTGAAAGGAGCAAAACAAGCATAAGTTACCATAAATAAGTCTGAAGAAGCACAAAAATGTTGAAATTAGCCAAATGAAGCTGCACAAGGAAGCTGAAAGAATCTTAACCAGGTTTAAATGTGAAAGTATAAGTACAAGGATGTAAACGGATCGAAAAGTTATGATGTAAAATGAGCTCCATTCATTTTCAATGAGAGCAAACATGGCAGAAAAGGCTAAATATCTCAAAAAGATAAAGTTGCATCAATACCAAAAGTCATAGCAGTCATCTCCTGAAACAGCTGAACGTTTTGATTTATGATTTGTTGAAATATCACAAAAACTGCGGGAGTAGTTAGATGACAAATAATGCACGGAAGAAAAAGTGGATATCAATAGTGTGAATGCCTATACGGATATAAAGGACTATACTAAGTAACATAATGACAGACACCTGGGGGAGGAACAACTGGGAACATATGAGAGTGGGCAGGGCAGGAGAAAAATACAATAAAATAAAAACCTGGGGAGGCTGAACAATGAAATTATTTGAGAGCCAATATTATAATTTCTGCCAATCTGGTCCTGGTCTTTTTTAAAAAGTAATATAGTGTGTAGTCTTACCCCAGAATATATTCACAGATCAGCCTGCAGTAGTCACTGTGGGAGCTGGTGATGAGCAGCAGAACCTTCCCAGCATCCTTCATACCACGCAGCCAATTTTTTACCAAATCAGAACAGGGCTGCAGATAATGGCCTGGATCCCTCTTTATGCTGGGGAAGTACGTCCCTGAGTCATCTGCAGACAAACACAAAATGATTCAACTAAAGGCTCCATTAGTAAATAATATGTTGATAATAAATAATTGTGCATTTATCAGTTACCATTAATTAACCCTCTGGGAACAGAAGTTATTTTCATTTTTCCAACCCTTCATTTGTATACCTTTCTGAAGAACTCTTGCTTATCACAGTACCAGGAAATGTTCAGCACTCTCTCAGCTTTGTCAAGTCAAGGTTCTTTATTGTCATTCTTATCATAGGTTGTACGTGTGGTGGAACAAAATTGTGTACACAGGGTCCCAGTTACATCCAACAAAAGTATAAATTGTAAAGAAAAACAGTAATAAGATCTAAGATATGAACAAAGAAATATGCTAAACTAAGAATACACTAAGCACTAATAGTACAAAGACAATACGCCAAACAACAGCAGCACCAACATGAGTCTGTGTGAGCAGATAAGTACGAATTGAACACAGCAGCATGAAATTAATAAGCAGCATGAGATTGGCAGCACATATCAACAATCAAAGTGGCATTACAGTGATTTTTTTCAGTGATAATCCTGATTAGGGATTCATGAGTCTTACAGTTACAGGGTAGAAGCTGTTCCTCACTCTAGTGATTCTGCACTTACAGTAATCCTCCATAATCTCCTTCCTGAGGGGAGCAGGGCAAAAAGTGTGTGTACTGGGTGAGTGGGTCCTTCATGATGCAGTTGGCCCTCTTCCTGCATCTGGAGGTGTAGATGTCTGTGATGGTGGGGAGGATGACTCCTGGTGAGGAGGTGGGGAGGCTGTGTTTGTGTAAACACAGGTTAGTTTACTGGTTAGCACAAAAGGATCAAATATAATTTGGACCCTAGGCTGAAAAACTGATACGTGTTTTAGTAAATTTTGTAATACCAGGCTATAGCAGATACAAGCTATGAAGTTGTGTTAAAAAAAAAAAAACACTGATCTGCAGGTGCTCAGAGAAAATACGATTGATGAAAAAATTGAAGGAGAATTTCTGCCACAGTTGCGGAAGACAATAAAGTTTATATTATGTTATGTTATATTATATTATATTATATTATATTATATTGTATTATATTATATTATATTATATTATATTATCCATCCATCCATCCATCCATCCATCCATTATTTTCCGATTGTTCCAAAGTCGGGTTGAGGGGCCAGCAGCTTGAACAGGGAGGTCCAGACATCTCTTTCCACAGCCACCTCTTCCAGCTCTTCCAGCTCTTCCAGGGAGGACCCCAAGGCATTCCCAGGCCAACCAGGAGACATATGCCCCTTTTCCACTGTCACAGAGCCGATCAGATCAGTTCGGGTTGATTCAGATCGGTTTGGGTCTGTTGTGTTTCCACGTACATTTCTGGACCGGCTCTGTAGGCGGGGACTAGAATCCAACTCGTCTTACCACCTGGTGGCGGTAGTGCTCCCTTAAGCTACTTACTAGCCACCACTAAACGTATTAGAAGAAGAACACCCTGAAGGTTTTGTCACACGATGTTGTGGAAGAGATGTCATGCTCTAATGGAGTACCTCATGAGCTGTAACTTTAGACCTGATTCATAATCCTACCTTACTGCTGCTTTAAATCCATGCGTTTTACATTTTAGTATAGATTTTTACAATAAAGATGTATTAAAAATATCTTCACTTTTATTATTTGCAGATATGCACAAGGTTCATGTTAAAATTGCAAAACATCCCACTGTGCTGTAATCTTTGAAACTGCTTTTACAATAAGATACAGACTTGAAAACAACTAGGTTAAATTTTGTCCTTGAATTTTAAAGATTTGTCTTTCATTAAATTAAAACATAAATGTATTACTTATTAATCTAAAAAAGTTAAGTCTGGTCCTCTGGACATTCAAAAAACAAAACTAACAAAAAACATTTAGTTTATTTATTATAAACTGTATTGTTAGTTTTGTGAATGTCCAGAGGACCAGACTTAACTTTTTAGATTTTTCTACCTGGATTATTGAGCAGCATCAGGATATTAATTAATAAATAGTCAGTTGGTTTGTGAACACCATGGGGTCCTAGAAGAGTTGAAGAGGTGGCTGTTGATGTCTGTGCCTCCCTGGTGAAGATGCTGCTCCCACAACCCTGAAGCAGAAGAGGATGGATGGATGGATGGATGGATGGATGGATGGATGGATGGATGGATGATGGGTGGATGGATGGATGGATGGATGGATGGATGGATGGATGATGGGTGGATGATGGATGGATGGTAAATGAGGAGACCATCAAACAGCAGGAGTGGTCAGTTCAGGTGAACTCCTGCCTGTTTGCTTCAGATCAGCTGTTCAAATCTCTGCAGGTTCAAATAAAAGGTGCACCAGGACTTTCAGCTGAATCTCTCGGGCCACAGTTGTACGGACGATAAACGATAACTGCTAAAAGATAACTGATGACTGATAATTGATAACTGTCCTTTCTGAATTTTTGACTGTTTTTGTGTCACTTCATCCTAGAACCAAAAAATTTACAACATAATAACAGTTGAGCAGATTCTGGTAATCTTTTCTTAGGATCCATTAAAGATCAAATGCAATTGGAAATTTTTCTCAACTTCCAGTATGAATTTAAACAAACACTATATGAACTTAACATTGTAAAATTTGTTTAGGAAATTTAATGTTCAAGGACACCACTTAAGAAAAACAATGTTTAATAGGAAAAGTAAGAAGTGAAAAATGTAGAAAAATAAAAACTACTGCGTCCAACTAATGACTGTGTATCTGTGTGTCCCTTGTCTCACGGGCTTCATCCAGAAGAAGACACAAGTGTTGTTCCTGCTGTGTCCGCTTCAGTTCTTCATGTTCATTCAGTGATGAAATAAGACTTTTCTTTACTGGACTCTTTTCTCTTTCTCTTCACTAGAAAGAAGAAAATGGTGGTTAATTCAAGCTACATACTGTTTTTGAATAAATGCATGAAACAAAGAAAGGTGCAGCTAACAGCTATAATAGATATATTAATAATAATAAACTGATAAAATAAGAAAATGAAAAATAAATTGATTTAAAGTAATGAAAATTATAATAATGGATATATGAATCAGAAAGTATTATACAGATGCAGATATTCTTTGTCATTCGCACCACATGTGGTACATGTGGTGGATCAAAATTATGTTCACAGGGTCCCAGTTACATCCAACAATAAAATATAAAAGAAAAACAGTAATAAGATCTAAGATATGAACTAATAAAAACATCAACTAAAAATATGATAAGCTCTAATAGCATAAAAACATTAAACACAATACACGAACAGCAGCACGGACATGAGTCTGTGTGAACAGACGAGCATGCATGAACACAGCAACATGAAACAGATCAGCAGCAACATGAAACAGATCAGCAGCAACATGAAACTGATCAGCAGCAACATGAAACTGATCAGCAGCAACATGATGTGATTCTTCACAGTGTTATATATTCATAAGGCTGCACAAACTCTAGTTCATGTTGCTGTTTGATGTATTGTTTTGATTGTTTACTGCTATTAGTGCTTAGTGTTTTATTAGTAGATGTTTTTTAGTTGATATTTTTCTTAGTTCATATCTTAGATCTTATTACTGTTTTTCTTTTACATTTTGTTGTCTGTAACTGGGACCCTGTGTACAAAGTACATAATTTCATCCCAATTCAGTATTTATTCAACATTTTAGTTTTTTACTTTAAAAATAAAATAAATCAAGTCCTTATTGGCACAAATAAAGTGATGTGGAACATGTTGCATCTGTTCTTACCGAGCACAGAAGCTGCAGCGTTGTGCTGCTCTGTGAGGTGCAGCTGGGCTGTGATGGAGCTCTGTCAGGTGTAGACTCCACTGATGGAGCAGGGGCAGGAGCCTGGAGGCTTGGAGGGTTTAATGTGGAGTTTAGAGATGAACCGTCACGCGCTGAAATATGTTCTGGATAAAATACAGTGAGAAACGGGACCGGAGGATAGTTAGCGTTTATGCAAATTAGCTTAGCATCGTAGCACCGACGTTGTCCTATTATGGCGTCAGCCTCTTTTGTTAAATTAAAATATGTTCAGAACCGATGGGATGAGTAATTTAAAATATGTTTAAAGTAAGAAAACACTCACCATCTTCTATAAATGGTTCAAGTAGAGCAGTAGTCGTGTCCAAACCACCCTCCAATCCTCCATCTAGCTCGCTTTGACTTTTTTCGTCGGCCACCAAGCACAACACCTGCACTTCTGCATTTGACCACGGTTTTGATATTATTGTTTTTATATAGCTTCAAAATACTAAAAGATACACTCCTCGTGTTATCGCTAATGGAAAGCGGTAGAGAAAAAATGGTGGATCGGGTTGTTTGGAAAGACTCCACAGACTCCTCCCCCCCCGACCAATCAGTGACCGACAGTGTTTCTGACGTCATGGCGCGGCTCAACCCCAATGAACTTCTCATCTGGACCTTTGTGGTTCTTCCTGGTTCCGACAAGAATCACTGAGTGGTATTTTGCTGGCTTTTTTGCTGGTTTTCTGCTGGACTGGCTCGCGTGGTGTCTTCATTAGTGTGGGTGAAGTGTACCTGTGTCCCCCAAACTGGACCAGAACCGAACCGAGATGGCTGTGGTGGACTTTGTCTTTAACAGAGCAGCTTCAGTGAGCAGCCCGTTATCTTTAAATGAAGGACTGTCCACCTTCGTGGGAATCGCTGTGTTCGCCTGGAGGAGACGCTTTGATGCTTTGAAGCGCCGCCGGAACCAGACCGGAGCAGAACCGGAGCAGAACCGGGCCAGGGACAACTTGAGCCACTTCAGCCTCTTTGGTCAGTCTCATCATTGGAGGTAGCCTCTTGTGCTGTGGAGCGCCAGAACTGGACTGGAGCAGAACCGGACCAGATCAGTGACGACTTCAACATCTCTGATCAGTCTCGTCATTTTTCAATTTTTCACTGAGGGTGGCCTCTCGTGCTGTCGGGTGCGGAGGTGACGTGCAGAGAAGTGGAGTGAAGCGCGGAAGAGTAGTGC